CCCCAAAACCCCAAAACCCCAAAACCCCTCTGATCGTAACACTATTGAAAATCCATAATTAACCCTACCTAAATTTGGCCATTCTCATTGTCATCCTCTTGATCGTATCCTTCAGATCTTCTATTGTGCTATTACTTCCAGCTGCTTTGCTGTAGTAAGACTTTCTTTGGACTTCCATTTCTTCCTAAAATAATGAGCGGGTTATCATACTTGTAGTTTTGCGATCCTAGATTCAAAAGCAGCCTTCATCCGGTCAAATTCTGACTTGAGCACTGCTTCATAAGTGTCATCGAAGTCTTCATCTTTGGAACTTGTGAAACCACGCAAAGTTGCTTTTAGAGCCTGGATTTCATCCTCTTGCAGACTTGTTAAGACTTTGGAATTTTTCAGATTCTCTTTTAGACTAAGGATATCAGCTTCAAGAGTCATTGCTTTCATTGAAGTCTCGTGCAGTTTTTGCTTAAGATCATCGTAATCTGACTTGCTGATGCCTTGCGAAGCATCTTCACTCTTGAGGAGCTCCTGCACTGTGGATTGCAGCTTAGTGCATCTAGCTGTTTTATCAGATAAACTCTTCTCCTTCTCAGCCAACTTTTGGTTTATCAGGATTATGGAAGATCTTAATTGACTATTCTGGTCTACAAAGGAATCTTTTTCCATTCTTAAATCATTAACCATGGACTTAAGAGTTTCAATTTCATCTTGAGAGGCTGCTTTGAATTTTGCCTCAGTGATTTCTTTATCTTTCAAAGTGATAAGCTGCTTCAAATTTGCGATCTCATCAGCTTGGGTTTTGACAACTCCTGTGTTGTCAGATAACTTCTGCTCTAGACCAGTGATGCTTGCATTTAATGACTCAATCATAGATACAAAATTTTGTTGTTCTGATCTGAGCTTAAGAATTTCTTCGTCTTTCTGATCACATTGGCTGAGAGCAAAGACTCCTTTTTGCTGTTCACCTTTTAGTTGAGACATCTCTTCAGAAAGAGCAGAGTTCTCTTGAATGATACCATCTCATTGCTTTGCTAAGGTTTTGAATGATTCCTCGAGTTGTTCATTCTTGGTTTGAAGAGTTCCGATTTGCAATTCTTGGCTATTTTTGAAATTCCAGCTTCTGTGCAAGTTCTTTTGTGGTTTGTTCAAGAGTTGAGCATACGTAATTACAGAATTCCTCTGTGATTTTGCAGTTTACTTGATCTCTAATGTATTCTTCAAAGGACCCAGAAAGATGAATCCCAGGTACTTTAATCTCTTCCTTTTGTACCTTGCGAGCTGAGAGAGATTTTAGCGAAATCAGCTGATTTAGAAGCTCAAAATACAAAGATGTTCCTTTGCCAGTAAAATGATTGGTATTCTGGTATTTCTCAAGGTAAACATTTACATCTTCTCCCTGAAGATTGAGCTTAGATATCAAATGGATACATTTAAACTGCTCTATAGATACCATTTTATTGACCAATATTTCCAAGACAAGGATCACTTGGAACAGAATTTTGGAAGCTTTGAACTTAGTTGACTCTGAAATTTCTAAGAAGCTTGATAATCTCTCATCGAAGTCTTCCTTGGAACTGTTCAAGGAAGCAAAGCTGAGAGCTGAATCAATGTCATTCTTCACTTCTTCAGAATCGAGAGTTAGCTTTGCTAACTTCGATTTGAAATTAGTGTTCTTAAGGAGATCGGTGTTATGTCTCCTGAGAATCTCAGCCTCAGCTGAGATGAATTCCTGGATGTCTACTGACATCCCTTTGAGACCAGAGACCAACTCAGTGATCCGGTTCTTCTGGATCTCAGAAATAATTGGCACTAAGGAGTACTTCTCAGGATCATAGTTTGATCTTGAGAAGCTCTCTATGATCTTAGATTGGTTTGCACTACTCCCGAAGGAACTCGAGGCAACACGCTTTTCTTTGAAGGTGATTTTATTAGGCCGTTTACGAGATTTAGCATTTCGAATAGTTTTTTCTCGAGTTATTGGTTTGAGCACGTAGCTTTTCTTATCAGATATGGAGCCCCACATTGATTTTTCCATTATAATATTTAATGATATGATTGGGGTTTTGGGGTTTTGGGGTTTTGGGG